TTGGAAGGTCCACAGTGCTGGGCCTAGGAACCATGGCTTGCTGGTAGTGCATCATCTTTGCATGTAGAAATTCCTGGGTTCTGTATCTGGCACATCCAGATAAAAGGGTCAGATAGTTGGCGATACGAAAAACTTATATCTAAGATCCTGGAGAGCTGCGACAAGTAAGAGTAGGTAAGACTGACCTTGATGTGATTTTTCGGGTATATTTTGGCTTCCCAAATGTTTCAGGGTTTTCTTAGGGAAACCGGAAAAAATCCCCCCAAAATCCAAGATACATTTGGGAATTTCAGGTAGATCTAAAAACAGCGGAGAGATAAGAGTAGATTGCTCCCACCTCTTAGCTGTTTGTCAAGCAGGCTTATGCAGTCCCTTTAAACTTTAAAGGGACTGCAGAAGTCAGCCCAGGGATCAGGTGGAGTGGAAGAAAGCTGAGAGCTCCCCACTGCCTCGGCTACGGCTGGTTTCTCTTGTAGCCCAGAAGAGAAGCCAACCCAAGATCCGCTGGGTCAGTGGGGAGTTGAGAGTTCACCACATGCGTAGCTCTGCACTGCCTTCTCCTGCTGCCCAGCTTAAACTGGACGGCAGGAGAGGGCAGCTCAGCCAAGATTGCTGTGCCTGTGGGGAGCTGGTCGCTTCCTGGAGGGGCAGCTCTGTGCCACCTTCTAATGCAGCTCAGTTTAAACTGGGCGGCAGGAGAAGCCAAGTCAGCCCTAGGATAGGGCTGGTATTTTTTTACCGGCATTTTTTGTTCTGGTCTATTATGCCCCAAAATTTCAGGATTTCCGAAAAATCCCAGATCCGAATACCATACCAGTATTTGGATCTGGGCTTTTTTTGGGAATCCCCCCAAAAATTTCAGGTCCAGTGGACCTGAACCGAAAAATACCGGTAATGAAAAAAATTGCAGACCCCTAGTCTTGGCTGTGAAAAGTAAGAGGGAGAGGAGAAGATGGAATGCTATCATTTAAGTGAGCAGCACCTACAAGCTAACATCTCTACTTTTAGAAAGATGGCCATGATGTCTAGAACTAGAAGTGTGGTAACCAAGCCTACCTGATCATCATTTACCCAGATGCCATGCCACATAATGCTATTGTGAAGGTATAAAACTGCTCACAATCAGTGTTCCCTCTAAGCTGAATTAGTGTGAGCTAGCTCACAGTTTTTTAACCTCTGGCTCACACATTTGTCAGCTCAAGAAGGATGGAAGGAGCAAACTAATTGATGCAGTAGCCAAATCACTTGCTGACAACTTTAATGCCAGTAGCTCACAAAGTAGAGTTTATGCTCACAAGATTCCACAGCTTAGAGGGAGCATTGCTCACGATACTGCTGTGAGCCAGTCTGACAGAGGATTACTCTACAAAAAATCAGCATGAGCAAAGTAATTCCTCCCCCCCCCGCTAGTATCCCCCCCCAGTACTTCAGTTTTGTTTCTGTTTCTAGCCTACCTACAGTCTAAATAAAGGGAGCCTCAAGTGCCTTTTCATGATACAAAAGCTTCCCCCCCCTCCTTTACTCTTAATTGTTCTTGTTGCTTATCATATCTCTGCCTCCTCTTTAATGCAAGATCATATTTCAGTTCAGAGGGACACTTCCATGCTTTGTCTGGTTGTTTTGTACTTCATGTAGTTATATTAAATTCAGAGCAGCATTGCAGTGTTACAGTAACAGCACTTCTGTAATTTGGGACGGTTAATAACTTCTGTTTTAATTTAAAACTACTGAGGTACTGCAATTATTTTGTGTATTTTCTTCATATAAGGATGCGGTTTTGTTGAAATACTGTGACATTGCTTACTTGGGTCCTCCTTAGGTACTGCAGAAAAGGAGGATAGAGGGGCCTGTTCTCATGTAAGTGATTTATAGAGCAGCAGGGGCTGAAATCTGCGTTGTCTTCACTGAGATCTCTGTGTGCAAGGTATCCTTGAATACTTACTGTTGGAAGCCTGTTCTGTTTATTTAAATATTTATACTTCACCTTGGCTCAAGAGGAAAGGTGGAGTATAAGTGTTTAAATATGAGATAGTAAGGGCTGTGCCCTGCGTGCTCTGCTTGTGGCTTCCTAGAGGCATGTGGCTGGCTACGGTTGCAAACAGACTGATGTCTCACCAGAGCAGTAATTCTGGTTGTGAATTGAGGGGAAAAGATATGACAGGGTAGATGATTTAGGTGAAAGTGAAATGCTAGTGACTTATAGGTGTGACTCACGATTTGACGTGTAGAATAGATAGTGCCAGAGGCTTTTACCTCAGCACCGGCCCGTAATTTAGCAGTTGAATTCTACTTTCTGGAGAGCCGAATGCTTTCCCATTTCTCATTCAAATGCATTTAATCACTTTGTGGACGCTTTGAAATTGATTTGCACATCAAAATATAAATGCACTCAGGCAGCAGTGAACTTGAACTGGATTTGGGATCAGTCAGTCAGTCAGAATGATGTGATGTGCTCTTAAATACACATTAGACAAGAGCAAGAGTCTAGTAGCACCTTAAAGATTAACAAAATTTGTGGCAGGGTCTGAGCTTTCATGAGTCCTTGCTCATTTCTTCAGATGCCTTCTTAAGTACACAGGTTAACTATCTGGAAACTTTAGTTTCTGTTCACTTGCAGTTGAGTCTTAAGGAGGTAGATAAAATTTGCAGATGACACCAGTGATGGGCACAAACCAGGAAAATGCAGTTTGGTTCATGATTCAGGATGTGCCCAGTTTGCGAATCATGAACTGTCATGAGCTTTTAGCTGCCAAATGGACCAGTTTGGTTTGTGATGCAGTAGAATGCCCCCCTGACATGCTAGAGACACCAAACTCACTGGGGATCACTGGCTGACTCTCTTCTACCTGCCCTCTAAATTTGATGGATTTACAGGGTCCGAGATACAACCCCCCTAAAGAAGGTGCCCCCCAGGAAAGTGCTTTCTAGGAAAATGACAGGCTCGGGTTCAGGAATGTACAGAATGGATCATGTGCAAGCTAGAGACATCAGAGTCGCAGGAGACCTTCCCTGGATGCTCCTCTACATGCCCTCTAAGTTCTGCCCCCCCCGCTCTTTCCAGAACAGCTCTGAGAGAACTTGTGACTGACCCAAGGTCATTCCATCAGCTGCATGTGAAGGAGCGGGGAATCAAACCTGGTTCTCCCCGATTAGAGTCCGTGCTCCTAACCACTACACCAAACCGGCTCTACTGGATCAGTAGAGTAATCCTGTTCTGCACAACTTCTCAGTCCTCTTCTTGCACCCCTTTAGTGCCATTTAGGAATGTGCACAAATCAGCGCACTAAAGTTTATGGCAGGTCAACCAGCATGAACTGTCCATGAACTTTCAAGCTGTTCATGGTGGTTGTGAACAGATACATTTCCAGGCAGACTGTCTCCACTCAACCTAAATGTTAACCAAACTTCAAGCATTAGATAATTCCTGTGTATATCATGTACATATGTGGCATATTTTAAAGGATATATTTAAATGTGTCTAATTTGTCCATGCTTAATAATCTATAATATACACAACAATTCAGTATTGAAGAGCTCATGAATTTCAGTGATATACTGTTTAACTCTGTATTGAATACAGTGTTATAGTATCTATTGTTCTGACTTCTCAGGTGGGAAAACTGGTACACATGCAATATAAGCATAGCATATAGTTTGCAGTGATTGATATAGCATTGAGTATATTCACAATTTTGCTTGTAGAAAGGTTTATACTTTAAATTCTGAAAATATGCCAAATCTTACAGTTTTATATGCTAGGTTACAAATTAGGCATTTTATTTTAAAGCAGTAAAATAGGTTTGATGAGAAAATAAGTATAGAATGTTTCAGTTCCCCCCAAATTTCCATTTTTTTTTCATGGCTTCCAAATTTCTGGAAATTTTAATTTGTAGAAAGGTGACAGCACCCCAACCAATATACTGAGGTATACTATATCATACTGTATCATGCGTATCATGCATGTTGACCTGTGTAACTACCACTGCTAATAACAGGTCTCTGTGCTCCGTAATCCCCCCATGCCATTATGGCAGCAAATTCCACACATTATATGTTTGTTCTGAATCTCCTGCATATAAATGCTGTTGGATGACTCTTAAGTGTTAGTATTATGTATGGAGTAGACATTTTTATCCATATGCTCCATCCTGTTCATAATATTATAAACCTGTCACATTCTTTTACCCCTGTATTCCAGATTCTTCTATAAAGAAAGAAAAGCCTCAAGTGTTTTGCCTTCCATGTATTCTCCCGGAAGGTGACCCAAAGTGGCTTGCAACATTCTCTCCTCCTTCATTTTATTGTTGCAATTACCCTGTGAGGCAGGTTAGGTTAAGACTGTGACTAGCCAAGGTCACCCAGCAAGCCAGAGCAGGATTTGAACTAGGCTCTCTCAGATCCTAATCTAGTCCAACACTCTAACCACTACCATCATGCTGGTTGTCACATAGGGAAGATACTCAACCAACTGTGTTAGTTGCTCTTTTCTTGCAACTTTACCAGCTCATGTATATCTCCTGCACTTCATAATCCACACATGGAATAAAAGAGGTTGGCTTTTTCATTATTGTAAACTCGTGCTGACGTTTCCATTGAACTATTCACCATAATATCCAATCAGATAGAGAGTGCAGCCAAGATTATAAAAGTCAAGATTGGTCTACTTCATGGAGGGGGAATGCTGGCTTGGAACATAGTAGCACATAATGAAAGATTTCTGTTCTCTTTATCTTAAAAGTACGTCCCTTGGGAAGGTTCAATAATATGGGTTTAGATCTTGTCTAAGAAGAGCTGCGTATGTTGATCACCAGCATAAAGCAGTGATAGATTGGTCATTTGAACTTGCAGCGTCAGTCTTGCTCAGTGCTTTAGGGAGAGTGTATATGCATCTGTACAAGGGGTTAGGCTTTTTCCGTGGCTGCTGTGTATAGCACTTAAATACTTTTTCTGGGCCTGCTGTAATACTTTATTGCTAAATTTTCCTTTCATTTTTTTCATAGGGATAGATTTCAAGATCAAAACAGTTGAATTGCAAGGAAAGAAGATCAAGCTACAGATATGGTAAGTGATACTTCTGAATTTGCTGTGCGTAGGGCTAAGCCAAAAGAGTTGAGGCAGGCCACTTACAGCACTCCTGTCAGCATGAAAAAGCAGACACTCTCTCCACAATTAGACTTTGGTGATTTCATCGAATGGGATGAAAATACTCACCTATTCAGACAGAAGGCAGTGCTTTCTGAATTTGTCTTCTGTGACCCATCTTACTGGTTGCACAAGTGTTGTGATATTTTGCTTACTGCATGATCTTGGAGTGGCTGAGGGAAAACGATCCAGACAAAACGGTGATCATTCTGACAGTGACCCCCCCCCCAATTGTGCTTCCTTCCCCAAAGTGCTACTTTAGACCCATAAATCAAAACAAGGCATCTGTTGGTGCGATCCTACTTGAATACTGGCCATAGGACATGTTAGCTGAAAACTGTGGTACCCTGAAGAAATCAAAATTACCACGTGTCTAGATTTATTTTCTTTATAGGTATTTGAGGCCCTGACCTGGATAGCTCAAGCTAGCCCAATGTCTTCAGATCTCGGAAGCTTGGCCCTGGTCAGCATTTGGAAGGGAGACCACCAAGGGATGCCAGAGTTATGATGCATAGGCAGGCAATGGCAAACTACCTCTGAATGTCTCTTCTCTTAAAAACCCTACAGGGTCACCATAAGTCAGCTGTGGCTTGATGGCATAAAAAAGGGGGTGTTTGAGAAATAGTATGACCATGTGTCACTGCACATTATCCTTGTAAGGGCAGGTGCTTTTTCCGATTGCTTGATGAGATTTAAATTTACTAGTGAGTAGTGTAAGAGAAAAACAAGGGTGGAATTCACATAGAATTCACTGCCACAGGAAGTGGAGGCGGCTACAAGCATGGACGGCTTCAAAAGGGAATTAGATAAGCATATGGAGCAGAGGTCCATCAGTGGCTATTAGCCACAAGGTATAGACAGGGGCTCTGGGGCAAGTGATGCTCTGTCTTCTTGGTGCTTGGGGGGGTCAAAAGTGGGAGGGCTTCTAATGTCCTGGCCCCACTGGTGGACCTCCTGATGGCACTGGTATTTCTGGACACTGTGTGATACAGAGTGTTGGGCTGGATGGGCCTTTGGCCTGATCCAACATTGGCGTCTGTTATGTTCTTATGTAAGGGTGTAAAAATTAAGAGTCTTAAATTAAGCCATTACATGTTGGGAATCTCTTGTGTCCAGTTCCTGGAGTAAGTGACAATTCTACTGATGGTTTGTTGATAATTCCGTGTGCAGACTGCTTTCCAAATATGGTACTACAAAACTTTAATTTATTATCATCGTGAACCTCATTCATGCATGTATGCTGCCAACTTCTTCTATGTGGGGTCTTCTTTAATCATCTGAGCAGCACTTGCTTCTGGGTCAGTGTTCATTTTTTGTTCTACATGCGCAGTTTTATTTATTAATTTTATTTATTATTGAGATTTATATCCCGCCCCATCCAGTAATTCAGCTCGGGGCAGCTTACAAAGGTTAAAATATAAATACAACAGCAGCATAATAAACAATATATCTGATATAAAATTTGGTGCTAAAATTATTTACATAAAATCCAAGATGGACGACGTCCCACACTGGCGGCCAAGTTCTTCGTAGCAGGAGCTCCAGGAAGAGTGTTTTCCAGATCTATTGGGTGGCAACTACCCCAACATGGGGTAGGTAGTTAGGATATCATTGATGGAACAGTGACGGCAGCGGCTCCCCCTCAAAAGCCTGGCGGAAGAGCTCCGTCTTACAGGCCCTGCGGAACTGCCCTAGGTCCCGCAGGGCCCGAGTCTCTTCCGGGAGCTCGTTCCACCAGATGGGAGCTGCCACCGAAAACGCCCTAGTTCTGGTCTGGGTCAATTTCACTTCCCGGGGGCCTGGAACCTCCAGGCGATGGAAGTTCCCCGATCTCAGTGCTCTTGGGGGAATGTACGGGGAGAGGCGGTCCCTTAGGTAGGCCGGACCCTGGCCATTCAGTTAACAAGTGTTCTGTTCTTTGAACAGTCTTCTTCTGCAACGTAAAGGTTTTCTTTTTTATAATTACAGGACAGAAAAAGATTATCCAGAGGGCAGGCACTAGTTAATTGCATACCCAGAAGAAAAAGGGCAAATTGGCCCAGTGATAGTTCCTGGGAAGGCTTTTGGTTCAAATATGCTTTTGGGGCAGTTGCTGATTCAGCAAACTGTATATAATAAATATAACCAATGTGGCCTCTTTAAACTTAGTTCCCCATTAGCATCTTTGGACAAAAGGTAAAACCTCTGATAGAATGTGTTTTCATTGCTCACCTGCTGCATTTTATTGTCCTGCCACAATTTCCTATTTAAGGACTGAGTCTTGTGATAAATAAGGTACTGGGCAGTATGAGCCACCTCATGTTTTTGCAAATCGTAGTTTTAAAGTTTGTTCCATTGTAGCAGCACCCAGCCTAAGAAAATAAGTAACTGTCTTATCTGTGGTTTATTGTAAAAATATATTGAAACCTTTTGTTCTTTTTGGATACCAAGACTGCCAGCATCAATTTAAAAACCCCTTGCTTAGAAGATAAAATCACAATGTAAAAAACTCAGATAGGAAAATGTTCACAAACTTCATCTGAACACCCTTTGAAATAAAGGTCTTTACGACCCTCCTAAAAGCTAGTAGCAATGGGATCTGACAGACCTCTGACTGTAACTCATTCCACAGCTCTGAGGCATCTACACCAGTGGCATGTCAGTGGGTCGCGACCAGCTATTTGGCACATTTTGATCAGCAGAACCTAACTGGCATGTGGATTAATGAGGGGGAGAGATGGCCCTTCTAATATATGGGATCTCAGGTCATGAAGGGCATTAAAGTTTAAGCACCAGCACCTTGAATTCATCTTGGAAGCAAATAAACCTATAAAGCTTTCCTAAAAGCACAGCCACATCACGGAAGCAGCTTTTCCTAGTTAACAAATGGCTGGTGACATTCTGAACTAGCAGAACCTTCTGGGTTGACTTGAAGGACAGCTGCATATACAGCGTATTACAGTAGACCAGCCTGAGGTTATACAAGTACAGCAAAGTCAGTTTGTCCGGGAGGGTTGATAGTCTGTGACTGTGATACAGATGAAAAAGGTCTTTTGTGGCCACCACTGTTTTTCTAGCAACCATACAGAATCTGTTAGGACCCTTAAGCCCTTGGTGGAGTCTGCACCATCAAGTAGCTGTAAATGGGATCCTCTCCAGTAACTCAGACTTCCTAAGAGCAGCACATCTATCCTTGGTCCTTTCTGCACTCTGATCTCATCCCTGGTTTTATCAGAGTTCAACTCGTGACACAATACCTTGCATTTATCCCTGGTTATAACAGCATCCATTTATCCTGGGACAAGTGTGGGGTGAAACCGGGGTGGACTCAATGTAATGTGGAAACAAAAAATACCCCGAGATAATTATAGGGGTGAACTCGAGTGTAGTGTAGAAAGTAATTTGGGGACAGGGTTGAACAACGATTTAAGGTCTAGTGCAGAAAGGACCCTTGTTTGGATTTGACTTCATGTTCCTCCCTCATCCACTTGTTCGCAGCATCCAGATGCTGGCTGGGGGGGGGTGCAGTTTGTAGAGGCTTAGTCAAAGAAATATATAGCTGTATGTCATCAGCATATTGATCACACCTAATCCCTGACTTTTGGATGATCTCATTCAGTGGTTGAACATAAATATTGAAGAGCACAGGGGACAGAGTTAGCATTCCATATTCAAAGTCTCAGACAGATTATTCTTGATCTCTAATAATGACTTCCTTTAGATAAAAAAACAAGCCAGCAAAGAACCATTCTTTTCATCTGCATAAGCCTCTCCATCCATTGTAATAAAATAGTGTGATCCATAAAATCAAAGGCAGCAGATAGTTCCAACAGTTGTGGAATGCTTCTGTCTAAATGGGCATCATTTACCATAACTGTAGTCATTCCCACCAAATAGGCAAGCCAGACGGGAAAAGGTCAAGAGTATGTGCATGTTTTAGATGTGCCTACATCTGTTGTTCTGCCACCTGCTCAGTCCCTTTGCTTAAAATGTGGAGATCTGAAACACGCCTATAATCATCCAGATTATGTTTGGCTTATAAGGGTTTCTTCAGTAAAGGACTGACTACTGCCGCCTCCAGACTGAAGGATATTTTCTCTGTGAAGATATTTTCTTCACGGTCCTCCCAAGAGGTACTTCCAGTTTTTCTGAGCATGACTTAATCGGCGGG